TTTTAGAATGCCACCAGGATGACAGGTAGTCTATTTCTGAGGATTTTATGCTTTAAAAGTCCATACTAGCAGGGATTTCTGGGAGTTGAAGTCCAAATTTTCCGTAGGCCCAAAGATAATCACTGCTCTTAGAGTACTGGTTCTCAGCCTTGAGCCTGCAGAGGTTCTTGGACTACAACTCCCAGCAATCCTGACCAACGCAGCTGGTGGTGAAGGATTCTGGGAGTTGTAGTCCAAGAACATCTGGGGACCCCAGACGGGGAACCACGGCTCTGAAATAATCTCTAGACCAAAGGCCTTTTTAAAGGTTTATTAAAAATGAGTTCAAAAAAGAGAGGAGAAAGAAATTAAAAGATAAGATGGAATGCCAGAAAAAAAAAATCGAGGAACTGTTACGAAAATGAGTAGACTTTGTCTAGAGGGGTGGGGTATAAATCTAAATAAAGTAAAAAAGTAAAGAAAGAGGCCTTTGGACATTGCATTGCATATGCACCCATTAACCTGATGTGAGGGCAAGACCGGCACTTTCAAAGTTTTTTCCTACACTGGCTTACCTCACATTGTTTGTTTGTTAATAAAGTCCCCTGACTTTATTCTTCTGTACTGGCAATCACCTCTGATTCATGCATGAGCAATCTGCAAAAGGTCCTGTCCTCAGCCCAGCTCTTGCAAATTCATGCCTGTGGCTTCCTTTAGGGACTCATCCTCCTTTCCTGCTGCCTTCCACCTTTCCCAGCATTCTTGTCTTTTCCAAAGAATCCTGCCATCTGATGATGGGCCCAAAGTAGGACAACCTCAGTCTCAATATTTTTGCTTTCAGTTATAGTTCAGGCCTGATTTGATCTAGGACCCACTTGTTTGTCTTTCTGGCTGTCCAGGGTATTCATTCACAAAGCTCTCCTCCAGCACCACATTTCAAACAAATCAGTTTTTTTTTACAAGCTTTCTTAACCGACCAGCTTTCACACCCATACATGGTGATTGGAAATATAAGACATTATCTAATGTCTAACCCCCCACTTTTCTATCTTTAACTTCAGAATTACTTTCGGTGGGTTAATCTGTTAGACCTGACTTCTGGCATGGCTCCGCTTTTGATCTGACCCTTTATCCTTTGAGAGCCCATTCAGATCCAAAGAGCTTCCTTCCTATTCACATGTGAAGCTTGTTTCCTGGGTGTGTTATAGCACAGCTTTCTCTCTTCCATTTGGGCTTATTTACATACAGTGGTGCCTCGCTTGACGACGTTTTTCTTTCCAGCAAAATCGCTGTAAAGTGAAAACGTCAAACGAAATAAAAAACCCATTGAAACGCATTGAAAACAGTTCAGTGCGTTCCAATGAGCTGAATACCTGCTCCTCCAGCAAAGATCCTCTATACGGCGGTCATTTTCTGGTGCCTGTTAAGCGAAAAAGCCTTCCTAAAAACAGCGGGGGACCATTTTCTTCAGCTGGTGGCCATTTTGAAACCTGACGATCAGCTGTTTGCTGATTGTCGTAAAGCGAAAATCGGTTCCCGAAGCAGGGAACTAATCATTGCAAAGCGGAAAAACCCAATTTAAACCATCGTTTTGCGATCGCAAAAGCAATCGCAAAAACCTAATCGTACAGCGATTTCCTCGTTAAGCAAGGCAGGACTGTATTGGAGTGCCCTTTCCACAGTACCTTCAGCCTGTCATGCTGTCTGTACGCTCTCTTTGAAATATCCTTTCTGGGACCCCACTGGGAAAAAACTATTAGCTATTTGGATTTTTTGCAAACTTGCATGGTGCCTTTAATACGTTTTGCTGGGAGGGATCTTTCAGCTGGGGTGACTGTCAATCTATCCAGCACTAACCAATCATTCCATCTCTGTCTCAGAATTCAAAAAGAGGCCCGCCTCTCTGCTCTGTGTTCTTTCTGTTTCTTTGGAAGCTGGAAGTCTGTTGCTGAAAGTCAGCTGTGTCTGATCGTCGTAAAGCGAAAATGGTGTTTTGTGTTTTTTTTCCCCTCTTTTAAGTTTGCTTTTCAAATTTCAAATGTAAATGAAACGTTACTATTATTCTCACTCTTCACTGGGGGAAATGAGAAACTGGCTAATAAAGATCTGATCGCAAATCTTACTGGTGCAGCCAGATGAGAAATTGCACAGCATTGGAGAAATGCCCAAGATCTCTCAGTACACAATCTGGCAAATGGTTCTGATGGAAAAAATGACCAATTAGATCAGAATATACAGTATAGAAGGGGAAATGAAACATGATAAATTTATGAAAACCTGGCAGCATTTATTAACACAGGGAACTAACTCAAGAAAGGAAAAGTGTGCTATGGGAAATAATTTGGATTGCTGGCTTATAATATTGTAGGAGAATGAATTTTTATTATTGTTGTATCATTACTGTATTAGAACTTTAACTTGCTTTGATATGCGACAGCTGCCATGAAGTAAATCATGATAAATAATGTCCATAAGATACTACATTTTTGTTAAAATAAAAAGACAAAAAAAAAAAAAATTAAAGCGAGCCAGTGAATGTAGTGCTCAGAGGGCTCATGAGAGGCGAGTTCGAATCCTCTGTCATCCACGGAACTCAATGGGTCGGCTTGAGCTATTAATTACATGAACCAATACAAACAGATCAACATGAGTAGCTGCCCTTTTGATGTTTCTTTCAGCTTCTGGCTATGAGGATTGCCAGGTTAATCATCAAAATCATCATCCCGTCTGCCCCCATGTCTGGGGCATGGCAGGAAAAATCTTGAATGGCTTTTTTCCTTTGTTGGCTAGGACGTGGGGGTGAAATTTGAACTCCAGGCCTCTTCACAGACTTACTTTGGGACTTTGGATTACTCACACAAGCGCAGACGGGTTTTGAGGAAATAAGTTCAGGATCGTGCTAAATGATTACAAAACTATTCAGCTGACCAGTGGCAAAGCTCAGAGCATCATGTTTTAGAAGCACCGACCTGCCTTTGTCATAATCATTGCTGTGACTGGAGAGGTAATAAGCTGCATTCATTTACCTTGACTTTATCACAGGACAAAAGTGCGGAAAACTGGTTCTCTCTAGTGGCCAATTCTGATATTACACCCTAATCATCATCCTGTGCCATCAAATCAGTTCTGATTTATTACAACCCTTTGCAGGATTTTCTAGAACTACACAACCATTGCTTTAATGGTCTAATTTCCACAAATTGTAGCCGAAATGCAGACTGGACCCTGAAAGGGTACCAACTGCCCTCGGCTTTATTATATATTAGTTTACAGTGGTACCTCGCAAGACGATGACCCCGCTAAACAACAAATCTGCATAACGACAACTTTTTGGGATCGCTATAGCGATTCGCAAAACAGTCATTCCAGTGGGCGATTTTCGCTTGACAATGATTTGGTCCATGCTTCGCGAACCGTTTGTTTGCAAGACGATGATTTTTACAGCTGACCGTCGGCTTCGCAAAATGGCTGCCCTGTGTTTTACGGACCCATGCTTCACAGGACAGCCATTTTTACAGCTGATCGGCGCTCTCAAAATGGCTTCCCTATGGGCGATCTTCGCTGGACGACGAGGTATTTTCCCCATTGGAATGCATTAAACAGGTTTCAATGCATTCCAATGGGGAAACGGATTTCGCATGACAATGATTTCGCTAAGCAGTGATTTCTATGGGACATATTATTATCGTCGTCATGCGGGACACCACTGTATTTGTTTATAGCTTGTTATTTTTTCTTTTTCTTTTTTGCTATCACAGTGAAAACAATGAAAAAACTTAATGAAGAACACACACGTGCGCGCGCGCATGCACTCCGGTGAAATTATCACAGAAATTATTAGGTTTTTTTGCTCACGCTTCAACTGAGAAAATGCGCAATCATAGGTTTGCTTTTGTGATACCTTTCGAACCGATTCATCATTTCCCGCTTCCATTTGTGCCTTTCCTCCAGTTCAGGGGATGCGATTTATTTTTATTTCTATTTTTCTTTGCTTATCTCCACAGCCACGATGCTGTGAGGTAGGCCAGGTTAAAGGTCCCTGGTGTCCTGAACCTGGGTTTTCCGAGGTTCTGCTCTAACTACTACACTTTAATGCTTTTTTTTTCCTTTCCATTCCAGCGAGAAAAGTCCGTCCCCGGCTAAAGTGGCCGCCTGATTTCCCGTGACTCCAGAATCTCTATCTGGATAGGTGAGAAACTCAGAAGAGCCAAAAAGGTCTCCGAGCGAAGGTTGGGTTGATGGTGGATGAGGCCGACCTGGGCCCAGGACAAAATGGCCGGCGCCAGGGAGGGAACGCAGTCGGGTTTCGGCCTGCGGTTTCACACTGAGCATGAGCAAGGGATGCGTCGGTGGATTAAAAAGGAGGAAGAGGATCCGTCCGATTCCACATCAGGTGGGGCCTTAGAGGGAGCTTCTCCAACCATGCAGGCAGCGAGTGCTCAGGATTTGTTCCTGAGGCTGCCTGGGGAGCAAGAAGCGGGCGAAGGCTTGCTTCAGCGCTGGGAATCCCAGTGGCAGGAGTTCCTGAAGACCCTGGAGTACCCTCCACCGGAGTGGGAGACGCCCCGGTTCTTGGAGGAACCCACGCCGTGGGACAACACGAAGGCCTTCCTGGCCTCTTTCGAGCAAGTGGCCGAAGCGTGCCAGTGGCCTCGGGAGGACTGGATGGCCCACCTCTTGCCAGCCCTCAGCGGGGAAGCCGAGCAGATCTTTAGCAACCTGGACCCTCGAGAGCGGGTCAACTACGACAAGGTGAAGGCAGCCATCCTGCGAGGGGACGCTCTCGCCCGGGAAAGGCAGCGCCAGAACTTCCGGCGCTTCTGCTACCAAGAGGACCAGGGACCCCGGGAGGTCAGCAGCCAGTTGCAGGAGCTTTGCCACCGGTGGCTGAAGCCCGAGAGGCATACCAAGGAGCAGATCCTGGAGCTTCTGATCCTGGAGCAGTTCCTGGCCATCCTGCCCCTGGAGATGCAGAGCTGGGTCTGGGAGCAGGGTCCCGAGACCTGCCCCCAGGCGGTGGCCCTGGCCGAGGATTTCCTACAGAGGCAACCCGCCGAGAATCGGGAAGAACAGGTGAGAAAGGGGAGGGGGCGTCTCTGGCTGCAACCTAGCAAGAGCCTGAAGAAGGGGAGATAGGATGAATGGACAAGGCGTGAGATTATCTAAGACAATCTCAGAGACGGTATACTGGGGGAATGCATGAGAGAAGGTGTCATCACACACATAGTTTTGTGGCATTCCCAAGAGGTCTATGAGTGAGTGACCTCCGAAAAGACCCGTCCTCAACAGCCCTGATCAGCTCTTGCAGTCGGAGCAGCCACGGCTTCCTTTAGGGTGTCAATCTGTCTCACATTTGGGCTTCCTCTTCTCCTGCTCCTTTCTGTTCTTCTCCGCAGGATAGTTTTTCCCAGCGACGGAATTTGTCTTCCCACGACATGCCCAAAGTACGAGAGCCTCAGTGTGACTAGAATATGGGACTAATGAGGTCTCATTCCGATCCAGCTTGTTTCTTCTTGGGTTC